CCCGCTGGGGGGGTCCCGGGTTAGGTTGTGAAAACGGGGGGCTCCAGGTCAGGCTCTGCAAATCGGGGGCTCCAGGTCAGGCTCTGCAAATCGGGGGCTCCAGGTCAGGCTCTACAAATCGGGGACTCCAGGTCAGGCTCTGCAAATCGGGGGGCTTCAGGTCAGGCTCTGTCATTCTTGTCATATTCACTTGTATTCTCTGAGTTTAAATTTTTCATGTGCAGCACTCTGCTGTAGCATTACAGTGTATAACACATAGAAGTCGGGGGCTCCAGGTCAGGCTCTGCAAATCGGGGGCTCCAGGTCAGGCTCTACAAATCGGGGACTCCAGGTCAGGCTCTGCAAATCGGGGGGCTTCAGGTCAGGCTCTGTCATTCTTGTCATATTCACTTGTATTCTCTGAGTTTAAATTTTTCATGTGCAGCACTCTGCTGTAGCATTACAGTGTATAACACATAGAAGACTGCCTTGTAGGTTGCTGAGATGGGTTTAAATTTTTAACAGGTAGCTAAATGAGAGTGCTTGTTGTTTGTCTGGTTGAGTTTTACTTTGTGATAGTTGTGATGTTGCTGGGGGAATGAAAAGTTGCATGTAACAATGACATTTTTAAACATCTAAGGTACTTATCAACCCCTTCATTCTACAAACCATTCTCAGCAAGAGATATTTCCTGCTCTTTGTAGTGATTAAGAACTCAGCAACTAGAATCAGAGCACATTACTAGATGCAGAGTGTTGGACAAAGTATTTTAAGCTTTTTCTCATTTGTGAAATGGGAATAAGAACATTTGTGTTTGGGGACAACTGTGAGAATCAGAGCACTAAAGGACTTTATAAAACAACTCATCCCATGCATTGAATGTCGTGAAGCACTAGATAAATGGTTGCATTTTTATTTTAATCATTATTATTCATATAAAGGAAGTGTCATGTTTCCTCCAAAGCTCTTTGCACAATAAAATTATCCATTGCTTAATGCAAACAGAAAATCCCCAGTCTTTCAAAGTACTGTGTCAATGTCTCTTACTGTTGTTTAAACTGTCTCCAATACACTGTTGACAATATAGCCGGGCCTCAAAACTCTACTTGGGAGTTCCGTGTTCAGAACATATTTTCCTATAGACAGAATGCTGTTAAAGTAATGACTGAACTCCAGGTAACAGAAAATGTCCACTTTCCCAAAGTATCAGAAAACCGACATATTTGCAATGCAAACACTAAAACACTATAAAGCAATGTTGTTGGATTGCTAATCACTACCCAACAGGGCAAACAATGAAAACTTATGATTTCTTTTCATTCTCATGACTGCTGATTATGGGGAACGGTCTTCTAAATTGCTCATACCACAGAGGGGGCAAGAACTCAGTAGAAATTAAGGGAATCCTAATATGCTTTTGAGAGTACATTAAAGGGCTCTGGGATGAGCATGACCCAAACCCATTATACACATAAAACTTCTGAAATAGAAAACAGGCATGAATGAGTACCTTGCCATCTGTATACAGAGTTCTATAAGACCAAAGTATCATACTCCACATGGCAGTGCATGCCCACAGGTCAAGAACAGCCTTATGGGAAAGGAAAACCAGAAAGCAAGAGTGATTGAGGGCTGCTGGGCCAAAGAAGAGAAATTATTAATAGCATAGCATAATGGGGCTGGAGAGATTGCTCAGTGGTTAGAGTACTGACTGCTCTTGTAGAGGACCTGGGTTTGGTTCCCAACACCCACATGATAGCTAACAATAGTCTGAAACTCCAGCTGCAAGGGATCTGATGCTTTCTTCTGATCTCCATGGGCATTGCATGACATGGGTGTACTTACAGACATGCAGGCAAAACACTCATACACATAAAAATAAAACTAATAAATAAAATATTAAAAATAAAATAGCATTGAATAAGTGAATAGATAGCCATAACAGGCTAAAAGAGTCCTGTGTCTTTTACCCACAAAGCCTTAGGGCCCAGGGAATTGTCTAGAGTTGATCCTCGACTGCCTGAAAACATTAATCCATCTTTGCAGCCTCTGACTGATGTGTGTCAGAGCCACATAAGACTCTGTTTTTGTGATTATTCTGAGAACTGACCTGCTACTCATCAAGTCCTTCCCCTCCCAGTCATCTCGCCATGTTACGGTGTCCTTGGAGGTCATCCTCCTTGGTCTTAAGGTTACGATCCCTTGTGACGCACTGCTGTCCATATGAGGACACAAGCCCATGGCTCTAGGCCCCTTGTGCTTCTGTAAGCATTCAAACCATTAACAGACCTCAGCCTGTGGCATTCTCTCTCTCGATAACTCAGCCGCTGCTGTAATGATAATTCTGCCCTTTGCAACCACTGTCCTTGACGCTGGAGCAGAGTTGCCCCATTTACGACAATAATAGTATTTTCAGCCAACCTTGAACAGCATGGTCTCCCCAGCTGCGCCTCAGATCATAGCCTTCAATCTTATCTTTGACATTCTACTGGGAACCCTGACTTCAATTTCTAGGAACCACACCAGAGAATTTAGGAAGACGTATCCTGTATTACCAAAGAAGCCTGCCTTCAATGACTCATCAGAGGCTCAAGGCAGAAACAGTCCTGTGATTCTCACCTTGCTACCTCCCACAGAAGGCCCCAGAGTCTTCCGTGCAAATATAAACTCTGATATCCCAGCGTTCCTTAAGTAACACCAACATGAACTATATGAATCTTCAAGGGAAAACACTCTGTTGACTAATGTAACTGGGTCAGCTCAGATTATAACACTGAACAAAGCAAGGTCTTCCTCAACATACCTGGCAGCTCCAATTTGAGCCCTGGGTCGGGAAGCTGATTTGGAACTTCAGACCACAGCAGCAGGTACCCCTGAATACACCTACTCTTCAACTTTTATTTTGTCGCTGATTTGTTAGTTGCTCATCATCATTTTTTTTTTATTTTAAAAGAAAGAGCCTGATGGAGCTGAGGGGTATAAAGTTCCAGAACAGCAACCCACACTTGGTCTATGGAATGTATTATTTTCCAGCCTCTTTTATGGAACAATGAGAGTAGAACAAAAACAGAAGCAAAAACCCGTGAATGGAGATGCAGGCAAATGGGAACGCAAGGAGATCAGTAAATAACTTGAATTCTCCTTTCAATTTCTGGTTTCAACTCTGGTGTGGATCAGACTGAAATACACAAAAATGCATTGCACTAACTTCTCCTCTCTCCATTTTGGGAAAAGTTTGAATGACAAAGTATGAGCCTCTTCAACTATAATTCTTACATTGTTCCTTTAATAGGAACAATGAACCAAGTACTCTACTGGCCTTTACATATGTTGTTTTTTTAAAAAAATATGCAGCTATATTTTAGACCTCCAAAATTCTCAAATTGAATTTAATGTGCAATTTAAGTTACTACTTTATATAAAATTTGTGTTTAAAATAATATTGCGACTATTTCAGTCTTACTATTAAACTGGAAATGGAGACCATCTATGTTTGGAACCTATCAGGAGATGCAGATCCAGAATCTTATCCTGTAATCATTTCCTGTCTAATCTTCCACAAGTTTTAAACATTTTTCAGGGTCTCATTTTCTTTGAATGAAAAAGGGAGAGATGAACACCCCCATTAACTGAATACCTCTGTCAAATTGACAGAGCAGTTGAGAGATACTAGTGGATAGAAGGCAGAAAGACTAGAAGAGAAATGACAAAAGGAGTGTTTATTACATGTAAGGTGGCTTGGGTCAATGCTTTGTTTTCAAGCAGCTTTTAAATTACATATTTCACACTGTTATGGGCAGGTAATTCTGAGCTGTTCCTCTTGGATTAGACTGAAGCTCTGTGTAGTTTCTATGCTAGAAATCTGCACAAGAGAATTTCTATGAGCATGTATTGTGTAAGATATCAGGAACTGAATTCTGGTTGAGCATTATCATCCAATAAAGCACGGAGGTGTTATGGAGAGGAATGTTAAAGTGAAGTAATGAGCACTCGTACCCAGTAGCTCAGTGCCATGAGCGTACCCTAAACCAGTATTGGGTCTCTAGGCTCAGCATGTCATTAGGAGAATTTGGAAGACTCAGCACATAACTGATTTACTGCAATGAAAATTAGCAAAGGGAAAATGCCATAGGGAAAAGTCTGGGGGAAATATAAGTATGAGAGAGAGAGAGACAGTCTTGTTTGTTTGTTTTATTTTGTCTTTAAGGGTGTCAACACAAAAGCACAACTCTCACCTCAGAAGGAATAAGTGATAGTTTATTCTGGAGCCAAATATGAGTGACCATGGCCCAGGGACACAGATTCAGGTTACCCCAAATTCCATGTTCCAATGAGGTAGCAGTTCCATGAAGTATTTATAGTTACAGAACAAAGAAAAGTCATAAAGCAAGACACTTTTCAAATACATTGGAGGATACATTCAGTAGGTGGGTTGCAGCAAAGCGGGATGGTCCTTACCATAGGTGTCAGATGTTATCGGATGACATTCTTAGTTTTTGGATTGGAGAGACCTGGTGTTCTGCTGTTAATACATTCTAAAAGGATTTTATCTGTTAGTCACAGGGTATTAGATCAGAAACAGAGGTGAGTAAGGAGTGGCTGTTTAGGGGGCTAAAGATGACCCGAGATAAATGGTGATTAGACTCTGGAACTGCAACATTTCAAACTCTCCACAGTCTCTGGAGTGATAATCAGCTGGTCAGCCTTGCAGAAAGTTCAGTCCAAGGTTCAGGAGTTCTTTTGGGGAACTTTTCTTTCACAAGGCTGTGGCCCCTAGTGAACAGACCATGTTCCAGTAGACAACGCCACACCTAGAAGTACATAGTTGGCACAAATTGGACTTGGTGGGTTATTAAAAAATAAATAAAAAATAAAAGATGACACAAAGCGGGTAGGAAAATGGGGACTGGATCTTGGTAAGTGGGGGTGAATATGCTCCAAACACATTGTATGAAATTATTAAAATTTTAATAAAATATATTTAAATTTTTTAAACAAATATGAGCTTCCAAGAATCCAAGATGCACTTAACCCTCTAGTGGACAGCACATGCGCAAACTTGTACACACGGAAGCTCTTTAGAGATTCAATGCTTAAAGGCCAGTTTTAGGCGCTGGTCATGTGATCACCCTTTGTACTCAAGTCATGGACTCCCAGAGGGAAAGCAGACGTTTAGCATAAATCACATTGTTTGTAAAAACAATTCAGATGTACTGACCCGTTCTTATCAGGGAATGCTATGAACTCTGCTGAAATCCAAGACTCTAGGTATAAGTCAAGGTCTAACCTTGATAGAATTCTCAAGCATGCATCTATAAACATGGAATTATGCACTGCAATTGCAAAAAGGTTGAATAAATGCAGTGATTAATTCATTGAGCTAAAATTTATTGATGCATCAAAGGGCTAGGTAAGAGTCAGTTAACACATTGGCTAGTGTTGCTGAACTCTGCCAGACTCAACTCGGCACCTCAATAGCTTCCTGCCCTTGAACTGACAATGTTGCTTATGAGAAGCTCTGTGGCAGCAGCCAGACTCCTCCTCCTGGCCACCAACTAGAACACCACATTCCAGGAACTCTGTTTCTCTGATTGACTTCCGCAGATTTTTCCTTGGCTCAAGACGCCCTCAGATCAGTTCTTACCCGAGTCAAGATATCTAGTCCTTTCATCTAGTCCTTGGTCCCTTACCATTCCTGACTGAAACTCTATTTCTGAGACTTGTTCCTTTCCCTCAGCCAAAGTCATTTGGTTTCTACTTTTAGCCTTGAGCTAATTTTCAGACTGTTGTGTACTACCCCAGAATTGACTGCTGCTTTAAAGGTTACACTTCCCAGCTTTTTCTTTCAGGAGCCTCTCATGCAAGAGCCCTGTATATCCTGACAGGCTCCAGTGTCTACAGCCTCCCTGTCTTTGCTCCCGTTGGAGAAATGTATTGGTGACCCTTAACCTTTCCCCTTCTGGGATGGTTCCATCAGAAGTACCGTGTTCTAGTTGCAGGGCTCAGATCACGGATGGCAATAAGTAGAAGCAACGCACATTCTTTTCTTGGCGAAAGTGGCAGTGAGGTAGGTGTGTTTGGCAAGCGTGCTTAATGACCAGCCAAGAAGCAGCAACAACAACAACAAACTAACTGCTTCCCCTGTATCATCCACAGCTTTAGGGAATTCAGACATTCTAAGTTTCCTGGGAACTTTCATAGTGACGTGAAAGTAAAGCCACTAAGAAATGAAGTTGATTAGGCACATAGGAGACAGGTCCTGGAATGGGCACAGTGCTATGATGTGGGCAAATAAGGGCCAGAATTGTTAACAAGCTTGCATTTCAGCAATCCTGGACAGCAGCTGGAAGATGATGAGAGAGGATGTAGAGGCAAGAGATAAAAGAAATCCTTTTTAAAACTCCCTTGAGAAGTGATTCAGCCTCAACCAAACCTAGACCCATGAGTGTAGAACAGAGGGGACAGACATAATAGGCATTTAGAAGACTAAATAACCAAGACTCAGGAGTAGAGATGAGAGATGATGGTGGACTTTCGGCTTGGGATCCGCATATTAGGCAGAAACTCCTTTGAGTTAAAGAACAGCCACTGGGGAGGGGGGGATTGATGCTGCATCCAAACAACTTCATACTGTGATTTTTATCTTCTCCACCCACCTCCTTGATTTCCAAAGTCTTCTTACTGGGTTTGTTTTGTTTTTGTTTTTTCAATATCCAGAAATGTCCTTGGTGTGTTTGGCAGACTTCCAGGCTCATGCACGAGAGCTGCTGTCTAGGTCATCTTGGGATTTTATTGAAGGAGAAGCTGATGAGGGCATTACAAACAAGGACAACGTTGCAGCATTTAAAAAGTCTGTCTTCTTTACCCTTTCTGTTGTTAAGCTAAAATGCACTGGTTGAGGGTTTCTTAGGTGGTAATAGCACTGGTTTCTGCCTCTAAAGAACACAGTATTCTCAAAATAAAAGAAAAGTGTACTTCTGTGTTGTTTAATTTGAGGGAGGTGAGCAATAGGGAGCTGCAGAACAGTTGGGAAGAGAGAATTTGTCTTAGCTCTAGAAGTGAGTCCTCTGTCCTCTGCAATCCCAGTGATTTTGTAACCAGAAAAGGTGGAACAAGACCAGCCCTGGGGCAGGACAGAGAAGTCACCACATAAGCCTAGTTCTCCTGAGCTCCTAAAACGTCTGCCTTAGAGGATAAAATAGAAGAAAGGACTCAGGTTTGGAGAAAATAACATTCAAGGATATTTGAGAACATAGAAGATTGGTTCAAGGAAGAATTAGACTTGGAAAACAGAACAACCAGCATGTCAGCCAGCAACAGCTATAGGGCATTTCCACCCAGCTGAAATTACACTTTGCATATTGTGTATAAATTACCCTGCCTGTCTTAAAGCAGTGCACAATAAGTCAAATAGTCAAATCAATTAGTGTCCTAGAAAAAAAAGCCACTTGTTTTCTGGGACTTGGGCACTTTTAATGGCCTTTCCTTTCTTTCTTTCTGGGCACTTGTTTGTAACTGGAGAAGAAACAAGTGGCAATTCCTTCTTTCCTTGGCCTTTCCTGTCTACTCATTGATTATAAAGAATAAATTAAGCCATCTAAGCACAGAGTGTCTAACCAAGGAAGCAGGACTCAAACATATAGATTCCTTGACAGAGGAAGAGGAACCTTCCTCTGAAGAAGAGGCTGAAGTGGAGTTTGGTTCACTAACAGAAAGGATTGGGTTAATGTGGGATGGGATGTAGAACATGGATTCCTGGAGATTAGCTTTCTCCTGGGCCTACACTAATTATTTAGGATAAGCCAACAGATCCCACCAAGTTTTCAGAAAGCCCAGTCTGACTTAGACCTGCACTGGGAATCAGAGTCCCAGCTCCAGAAAGCATCACCATGTTGAGGACTAAGCCATCTTACTGTCTAGTGCAGAATCCGCCTCCGTCCCCGGTGCCTGAGAGATGTGTCAAAGGTGGACACCAGGACCACAATCCAAGGGATGGAGATCAGCGCTCCCATTTGCATCTCCCCTACAGCTTTCCACTGCATCGCTTGGCCTGATGGAGAAATGAGCACAGCCAGAGGTATGAGTCACCTGACCCAGAGGCTCCCCTCCAAGTAGATCAGAAGTAGACAGGACTCCTCCCCTATCCCCAGAGCAGGGGCAGGGAGGGAGCTCCAAGGCTTCTCATAGAAGGGCCTTAGGGACAGTAATTTTTTTGAATTAAGGATAGTGGCAAAGCAACTACTTAAAGCAATGTTTATGTAACATTTCATGTAGGGTCACAAAAGCACTCATGTATAAAATCAGTGATAATAGAAGAGGAGCTACTGATAAATAAAAACATGCTGAAATTCCAAGTCCTCCAACGAGAGATGCTGGTTCTACTGAATCATATTACCTGAGAGAAAAGGATGCCCCAGGGTTAGGCACCAAGGATAACACTAAGAGTAGGGCTCTCTGCAGCCTTATGGGCTAGAGACAGGGATGACTAGGCATATGCATTTAGGATGAGGACAAAACCATTTTATCAGATTTTAACACATGATCTGGCAGTTGCCCTTATCTAAATGTATCATTTCCCCTCTCCTTGACTGGCCTTGTCATCTAATAAATCTTCATGGTAGGTTACAGCTCCTTCTTGGTGACCCCCTATTCGTTCCCTATGCCCTCCACAAATATCACCATCAACAATAACAATAATAAGAAGCAATGAGACTGAACGTATTCTTGGGACCCCATAATCTTGATTCCAGGTTGAATCTGGTTTGGGTGAGTTGCCCAGGACTCCTCTGAGGTCTTTTCCATTGACTTCATGATACAGGAGGTGATGAGTCTGAGGATTCTAGAGTTAAAGAGACACAGATAGATATGGCTAGGTTGAAATATTAATATCCTATATGAAGATGATCAGTTTGTGTCATAGATAAGAATGTGTTGACTTGTGGGGTGAAGGAATGGGCTATCTCCTCTTAATATGAGATGCTGACAAGATTAGTTTTTGATTAGGCCAAATTATCTGGCCATGGATTGGAGCATCAGCAATGACATTAACCTACTGGAGAGAGACACTGAAATAATGAAATTAAAAATGAGAAATATGCAATTCAGTAGCCTTAATGCCATCAGCTTCATCACTACCACTGGCAGTCTCCTGTCATTTGACCAGTACATCACTTTTCAAGCTAAGGGATAATATTCAGTGCTCTTAATTCTCAATAAGACAGGTCTTACTGCTTTCCCTAACAAGTAAAGGAAATAAGCCTCAAGTTCACATACTCGTCTCATTTCAGATACTGTGCGTTTTCAGCAGAGTTCAGGTTTTTCTACTGGAATTGCGTCTCCAGCCTCTAAATCTCCTCTGACTCATTAAAGAGTTCATAAGAGGCTTGCCTTCCTGTCTGAAGGACATAACACACTCAGTGCTAGCTCTGAGTATTAAGTAATAGCTCCAGCCGGAAACTATGGAGAACAAGATTTACAAGATAGCTTACACAGAAGAGGACACACACCTTTAGTCCCCCCAGTTTAACCAAACACTTTGGGGAAGAAGAATGAAGTTAGGCTTTATCTACACTCAAAGGGCAACTTGGCCAGAGGTACCACAGCCTCCCGGAACTGTTTACCCCAGTTCACAACACTTCTGCCCTCCAAAATAAGTCATGCCCTTTGTTTTACAGCCGCTCAAAAAGCCGACATCTGCTATGTCACCAGCACTTATGCCAGCTGTACTCTTGAGGACATTGTTGCTGCTGCCCCCAGAGGCTTCCGGTGGTTTCAGCTCTATGTGCAATCAGATTGGGAGCTAAATAAACAGTTGGTCCAGAGGGTAGAAGCTCTGGGTTTCAAAGCTTTGGTGATCACCGCAGATGCACCTGTAGTTGGCAAAAGGAGGAGAGACATTAAAAACCAACTGAATTTGAAGGCAAATTTAATGCTAAAGGACCTTCGCTCACCTGAAGAGGTAGGAAAGATATCAGACTCGGTTGGCAGATATTATAGGAGGCAAATTTCCTTCTTCCCTTCACTTCTTTGGCCTTCCTTTCCACAAGTACTTTGCCAAGCGCCTACCCTGTGGTGGCAGACACTGGGGACTCAGCAGTTTAAGAACCTGACCTGATTTCTGCTCCCCAGATCTTCCTGGAAAGCAGAATGTTAGGCTAAATGTTCTTGTCCGTAGAATGCCCACTCTGTCATTAGAAAGTTGCGGGTCTGCGAGGTAGGAAAGCCTTGCAGAAGAATTTGCAGGAAATGGAGAACAAACTAAAGGAGTCATCCAATATTTTCTATAAAATAATATTTTTGCATGTAATGTGTAGATGCACTGATGCTCTAACGAGGGTGTTTACAGATCAGGTATATAGCCAGCCTACCTGGTAGCTGGAGCCCCACCCTACTGCTTTGAAAAGGTAAAACTCGCCCAGGAGCATGAAGATGTTTCGGCACATCTTTTTGGAGCCATTCAACTAAGGGACGAAAATAAACATTTCTTTCATTAAACTCCAACTATTGAAAAGGATGGCATGCCCTTGAAAGTGAACAACGTGGGAAGATGGAATCCCTTGGCTGCTGTAATAACGGCCTTTCAGCCAGCAGGCAGCTATACTACCTCTGTGTGTGTCCCCATCAAGAGACACATTAAAATTTAATGATATCTGATACACACTGTGAGCCAAGGGTAGATAATGGATAATGTCTGGTTTAAGGTTTCTGAAGTTTACTTTGGTTTATCAGTACACACACATCTCAATCATAAAATGGCACACTGACAGGTGAATATCTTTGCTTATTCACTTCACAGACTAAAATCTACACTCTTTTAAAATGTAGATTCTATGTTATGTGAAGTCAGACATAGTCGAACCCTGTCTTGGCGCTGCTGCTTCCCAGGTGTGAGGAGGCCCCAGGGGAATTCTCAGCCTTGAAGTCTTCATTTCCACTCATATTTCTCCCCAGAAATAAACCCCATCATGGAAATCCTTAAACTTTATAAAAGGATGCAGTTTGAATTTTATGGAGTATAGTTTTGTGTATGAATAATTATATTTTTAAAATATTGAGATTTCAGAAAGAAAATGCAGTACATTTTCAAAAGTAATTCTGTTGGTAATACAATATTTTGTTTGGTATTTGTGATAACAAAAGAAAGATATGTCTTTTGATAAATCGATTCATTCTTAATCACAACACGTCATAGAGTTGAATGGTCCTTAAATGAAACACAGGTCCATGTTTTCCAATGCAGTGCAGCTAAGTTTAGGAAGAAAATACTGTCAGTTGCTTAAACAGATATATTAAAATGATAGCCATAGTTGAGAAAAATTAACAGCATGTGATATATACGATATTTAACAAAGGCGAAAGAGTAGCAGTTTGAGCTTTAAGCAGAGTTCGTACACCACATTTGCTATAGCCTTGATAAAGCTGGATGTTAACTTCCCCAAAAGTTACTGAAGCAATACAACCCTTAAGTAAATCCTGTGAGGATTAGCTGTGTGAAATGGACTATGATAATATGAATGGTTGAAAAGTTTAGTTACTTTCATTTGATAGAATAAAAAAATAGGTTGGATGTCATATGAACATCCTTATAAGGGATAGAAACTTACATAGTACTTTTTATCTGGTATAGTCAGTAATGGGCCTAATATGTAAACTTCATAACTTGAAAATCAAATTAAAGACATAATTGAGAGATTGTACTTTTTTAAGTCTTTCGTCTTCTTTGATTTATTTTTTTATGGAGCTTTTGGCTACTCTAACATTTCCCCCTCTGAAGAGGTAACCCTAAAATCTTTTAAGGATTAGATAAAAGCTC